CTTTATGTACTTCATATGGTAATCTCTGGTCTTAATGGACTCCTATAGATGTTCAGGAAGCTGTCTCTGGCATGCTGGAAATCCAGTGCGTTGGAGCAGACTCAATTAATAGAGTCTGCTGGAGCATAGAAAATACCGCAGTCCAGCTGACTCTAGCATCATATGTATCAGCATTCCCACACTGAAAAATGGCAGTGGGGTGCTTTGAACTAAAGCTTATTCAATGAGCTTCAGTTCAAAGCTTCCCGCTGCCATTTTTCTGTGTGGGGATGCTGATACACATGATGCTTGGGCACTTTTAATTAGTGCAGCTCGCTAATTAATGTGTCCCCCCTACCCCCCCCCCACCTCCTGGAGCATGTGTAAAAATGCCCAAAGTTCCCAGTGTACTAACAACATTCCAACAATACAAAACAAAAGGATCTAGGCCTTTACTACAAATCTTAGCATCTTAAAATCAAAGAGATACTACTTCTTATTTCTGAATGCATAAATAAATTATTTAGCAGACAACATTTTACCTCATATAAACAAAGGCACATGCAATAAAAGGCAGCTAAGTTAGATTTTCTGAATCAAACACTACTTATTAACCAACTATTACTAATTTGCTAAGAAAGTACTCTCTGTTTCAAGTATCAGATTAGCTCCAGGAAGCATGCACCTCAAAGTTGCCTGTTCAAAAAAACCCAAACATTTGTAATGATGAGAATGTCAAATCCTCCAAACTATTAAGTTTTCAATATGAAATATGTAGGTAGGCACTGGAATGCCTTTATGGAATTTTGTTTAATTCAGTGATTCTATATTCTTCAAACTGAAGTCTTTTCAAGATTAGGGCCATAGACTATAAGATACCCAAGGCAGATACGTGCTTAGGTACTTAACACAATGTGTTAAATAACTAACAATAACGGTATTGTATGGTTAAAAATAATACAGACTCTACACTAAAAATTCTACTTCATATCAGTATTACAATTCAGTCAGGAACCATCAATAAAAGCTTATGAACAATAAAGTAATTATTAAAACATGTGAATGATAAATGGCTTAGTGTAGCTAGTCATCAAAAGAAGCCACACTAATATCACCAAAGCAGGCAGTAACCCATATAACATTGTCTTCAAAACAAATTGTTGATGCATAGATATAATATAATTATGGTTTAACTGGATGACTTACTTGAATACTCTTGCTATGGCATAGTTCCTCACATAAAAGACAGGTAAGGCAATAGTTTCTAATGTTACACTGTCATATTGTTATTAAGAGTGACACAAAATAGCTTAGTAGAATTCAGTGGCTCAGTATATCTCCTAGCACCATGAAAACAGTCCAGAATAGTTAATGATTCTCAAATAGATGTTCTGCAATTGATAAGAATTAAATTAACCTTTAAAATTAGCTTCTAAAAGAACAACAAAATAATGCCTGGTAATAAAACATATAGTTTAATTTAAAAAATCCCAAGAGAATCCAAGAAAACTAAATTTTCCCTTCCCACTTGTGTGTTACATACACTTGTTTTCTTGCTGATCTGTCAATTTGTCAGTGGGTGCATATTTTCCTCATGACATGCTGCTATTTGAGCAAGTATAAATACACATATATTGGTTTTCTTTTCCCAGAAGTTTTATTTTTGCGCATTTTACCATTGCAGCAATATATCACTAAGCAGAACACTTATTTTTCTCACTATATGGCCATGGGTGTCAGGTTATAAATGGATGATTTTTCACCATTTCTACAACGAAAAGATCTATGGCCCACAAGCAAGATTCTCTTGTGCAAAACATTAAATTGGAGGTAAGACCCATTAATTGCTGTAGTGCTTGACAAAGAGAAGGTCACTCATTTCTCCTTAAAAAATAAGACTTTCCTGCCAGAGCAGCTCAGTACCTTTAAATATTTACTTTATCGCATTAAATATACAAGAGGAATTATATTTCCAGTTAATGAATAGTTTTGATGCATCATTTGTCCCCTGTATTTTAATGGGAGAAAAATAAACATAAAAAATAAATATGAGTGAATTCCACAGTAGGGAAAGAGTTGAGCAGGGTATAGGTATAATGATCTTACAGTTGCATGTGGCCAGAAATACTGACAGGGCAATATAAAAGAGATGGGGTAAGTCACAGCAGGTTACTTGTCTAGAAACAATAACTTATCATGCCAAAGTGCTCAGTATGCTGCTAGCTGTACCATAATAAGTAGAAAATAAGTAAATTTGTAAATAGAAATATTTACAATCTAAATCTTTATCCATTTCTAAATCTGTCAGCAAACAAACCTATTTCTTAAACATATAAACCTGTGAATGCATTTTAATGTATGCACAGCTCTAGATTTCAAGTTTCTGTAAGTGTCCAAATTCATTAGAAACCTTTCTGTGTGAGATTCAGGAGATTCAAGTGTTTGAAACAACCTGAGATTGACACACATTGGAATACTTATCTACATCAAACACAAAAAAACAAAACATTTTGGTTTTGTCATCCTTAGTAAAAATCAAACGTACGCATAGATATTACATACACACCAATGTTTATTGCACGGTGGACAAAGAAAAAGTTAGAAACATATCAAGGATCTTATGTGAACATTATAAAAAGGAGGCAGGATAGATATGCACCTTATAGACAAAGAATATACAGAATATAAGCTTTCTTCAACTCATTAACTTGAGTTCACAAAAGCTTGTGCCCTATATATATCTTATTTAGGCCCCTGCCAGACATGCAAGTAAAGGCACCAGAAGATCTGATGCACAAGCCACACAATCACACCTTTTGCCTTGCCAGGGATGCATGGCAGAAGGTGTGATTGTGAGATCAAGCATCAGATCCCATCATGCCTTACTGCTGGTGCAGAGGGAGCCTGGGCTCCCCCTGCACCTGCAACAAGCAAGCTCCTGCGGCTGGGAGCCCTGTCAGCTGATGGGGCTCCCAACCGGAGGGGAGCACACCTTGTGCCCCTGCAGCCCCTGGGGCTGGGATCCCCATCAGCTGACAGGGCTCCTGGCTACAGGGAAGCATGATGAGCCTGGATCAGCTGACAGGGCTCCCAGCCATGGGAGTGCATGGTGCTCCCCCACATCTGGGAGCCCTACCAACTGACAGCTCCCAACCTCATGCCCCTGCAGCTGGGAGCCCCGATCAAATGACAGCTCCCAGCCTCAGGGGTGTATGGTGCATGCCAGCAGCTGGGAGCCCCAACAGCCAGTGGGGCTCCCAGCCATGGGGGAGCTTGGTGTGCTCTTTGTGGCTAGGAGCCTGGATCAGCTGATGGGGCTCCCAGCTGTGCTCCCAAGGCTCCAAGCTACAGCCCAGCTATGCAGTCTGTTAATGGCATGTTAGGAAACACCCACAAAATTATTCTACATGTTTTATGTAATAACTTTGCGGCTTCTTCCTTGCTTTATCATACAATTAATTGCATTAACATGTAGCTGGGTAACAACTTAAGACATGATTAACTGGTTAATCACATCTTAAGTGTAATGTGTGCCAGGGACCTTAGTGTATAAGGTAAATATCTACCCTGCCTTCTGCCTGACTTCAGACTAGCACAGCTAACTTCTTTTGCCTGCAATATGAAAAGAGACATTTACTGAAAAGACTTACCACTACTTCTAATTCTGGCACAAGTAACTTGTATTGACCTACTCCATAATGTTAATTTATTGTTGTTGGACTGACTATATACTGACTATATACTGGAACTGTTTTTATACAAACCTTACCAATATTTTTGGCCACATCTACCCCACCCAGCTACCTCCAGGATCTTGCTTAACATTTGCCCCACAGCCAAAATCACACCTTTCATAATTAATGAACTACAGATGTCAAAACCTGGCTGTAAACCATATTAAATTTTCCATTTCAAGGTAGCAATCACTATCACTTATATCATGTCCTAGGCTTTAACATCATTATTGGATAATTCTATTTTAGCTGTGATAGTTTTTAAATGATTAGGAAAAATGCCTAATTTTATCTAAGGTACCTCTGGAAGATCCTGGAAATACTAAAACAATTCTTAAAATTGCAGCATAAATTAGATTGTACAGAAAATCAGCCTACAGGAAAATCAAAAAGGAGATCTGAATATTTTTAAATGAGGCATATTCCTAGCCCTGAACTGAATGCTTAAGAGAGCGCCTGAGTCCTCACGATAAGCTGCTCATAGTACTTTCTTGAAATTCATATATAATCACACCTCTTAATATTCTATTCTGTAAGAACTCAAACTGGGATGGGTGAAGGAGAGGAGAAAATCCTGTTTTTATTATGTATCACTGTTTTCATAATATGCTGTCAATATCCAAGTGTTTGCTTTTCCAAGTTTGGCTCACCACCTACAAAACAAGGTCAATCAAATAACCTTCTTTCTATTTAAAAAGAACGGGGATTTTGACAATTCCACTTTCAAAGTGCAAAAACATTCCAGCACTGAAAACTGCATTCCACTGAAAACTGAAGTGTGACAGATGCCTTCACAGTAATTGCCAATCAGCCTCTACATAGCAGCTGAAAACACAATATATCACTTTGATCTCCTTAGCTCTAAATGTATTCACAATCAAGGAATCTGAATGAAGAATATGAGATCTGCAGCATTTCCAAAAACTGACTCCATGACACTTACATATGATAGTGTATGTTTTGTTCATATTTTAGAAGACATTTCAGATCCTCAGACCCTTTATTCCATATATAAAACACTATACCTTTTAACAAATGTAAAGATAAAAGATGTGTTTAAAAACATTTATTTTCATTGTGCAACAGAGGTAAAACGCTCATTCTGGAAAGTGTGAATTCCTCAAAAGGCTGAAGAGGCAGATGCCATCACAAAACTTGCTTAATTTAATCCGACTACTAATTTTGCAAATGAATGCCTATTTGAATTACCCTATTGGGAAAGAATGCATGTGACCACGTAGTCTGGATCAAAAAAAAAAAGAAAGGTGGGTGAAGAAGTTCACTTACATTTTGCAGGTAGGTCATATCCACATGTAATTTTAGCTTGTCCTGTCTCACAGCCACTCAGGTTGCGACATTCAGCAACTAAGCAGGGCCCAGCAGCTCTGTGTATGCAACCATCCACTATAAAAACACAAAGGAAAACCTGACATTATTAAATGTTTAATTTTACACTATATTCATACAAGTCTGAGGACACAGGTACACCTACTGCAGGCTTCGTTTATGCAGTATAAATGTGTATGCAGACAGACATATGCAGCTCCATGATAAAGTATAGCCTGCGACAAAGCCATCTTAATATTTTGCCAGTCAACTGTTCAGTGAGGAAAAATGCAGGGCAAGAATAAAAGGCCCATGCCCAGGGCTCTAGGCATCCCTGCTATAAATTACAAAAACAAAATAAGCTTGCCAGTTCAAAACCTCTCTTCTGCCCCACACATTTGATTCTTCTAACATTCTGCAGATGCTTTAATGTCACCATGCGGCTTAATAGCCACTACTATAATCCCATGTAGTGACATTTATCAGATTTGCAATTTACAGTAGAGCTTTGTTTTGACCCTTAGTTTTTCACATTATTCGTGGAAGACTCAAAAGTTAATTAAATAATAATTACTAAGGTTGCAACGACAGCTAAGTATGCAAGAAAATAAGTAGAGTACATAGATCTTATTGCCCTCGAGAGTCAGCAATAAGAATCTCAGCAGTAGCAGAATAGTAAAAACACTAGCACAGCATTTTTGCTATCTCAACATGCAATCAAAGAAATCATTTATTGTAATTAAGGAATGGAGTATAAGGGGGAAAAAAAACAAAAAATAAGGAAAATATTAACTGAATCAACACAACAGTTACCACATGCCACTGAGTCAGTGGTGGTACCACTCAGCAAGTCACCATTCCTAGTGGATTATAGGTATAGATGCAACATAAATCAAATGTAACAAAAGTAATATAAACCAAAGTGTGAATTCTGTAAGCATATAAATATATTTATGCAAACAATGAAAACAACTATTGTTTTTGTATCATAATGATTTCACTGAGATTCAACCAGTTAAAAGTTACAGGTGATGTTATGTTGGTGCCACTGTTCCATGCAGGAAAGATATGAAGTACAAGGATGGGTCAGGATTGAAAAAACTTGCACAAGAGATGTAAGCACTATTTGCAATGCAGCTCATGAAGCTTCTTGCATGGTATCATACAAGCGTGTAGGGAAGGCATGAATAGATTTTCCTTTGCCTGTGTTTTGTCTGCTACCTATAAGCCTCACTGCAAGAGACTAGAGAACAATTGCCAACATGATGTTATGGAAAATTCCTTCTCTCATCCACCACCGGGATACTTCAGCTCTGCATTGTCAAATGGCTCGCTTTGTGTGTTAAGGATGTTCTTGATCCAGCAAAGTGCTGAAATTTCCCACAAAGCACTGTCTGCCGACCACTTCCTATGGAGATGAGGGCAGTTAATACCTTTGTAGAAATGATCCCTTCCTTTACTGCATTTTAGAAATTCAAAAATTCTATTGCTTTCTCTGATGTGCTTTATGCCTTTGTCAGTATTCAGATAGCCATGATAAAATTGTATAAATGATTCCCTTTAATACTCTGACATCAATCATGAACATAGCCCATTTAATTTCCATCACATCATTCTGAAATATTTTACACTAATCTGTGAAAAAGACAAGAAAGAAATACTGGTTTTAAACATCTTCATTGAAACTTTCAGTAGTCTTCTTACTGAAAATTAGATACACAGTATATGTCAACAAGGCCTCCTATGAAAAACTGGTTGTGTTTGATTCATTACTATATAAACCAAGGCCACCTAACTGCACCTTTGATGACTTAGAATTTCATCTCAAGTTTGCTCAAAGTCTCTCTTCAATTAGCTCTGAGATGTTAATGTAAACTAGAAAGTTTATAACCTTCAATAAGAAGTAGGAAAACATTTTGGTGTTCATACCCTCTTATTTTATTAAGAGATTACTGTAAGATTTACAAAAGCAAGGAAGATTAGATTACTAAACCAATGCACCTTGGGACCACTATTTTCTTTTTAAAAATCTGCTATTAACGCTTAGCCAATTATTGACAGAAAATCTGGTCTCAATTATTGCTCCTTAACACAGTGCTAAACACGTGGCACTGAACTGTTCCTTTAGGTCCAACCCTGAACTAGGAAAGAGCTGGTGTGAAGAGTATTTCACCCCAGGAATGGCTGTGGGAGGGAGTGAAAGAGAGTCATCACAATTCTTTCCTGTTTCCATAACTACTTGAGGAAGTAGTGATATGCTGCCTCAACACAGGGGTGCAAGCAAGCCTCCCTCATTGGTGAAGGAGTAAGCAAGCAACCTTACTCAGCTGAACACAAGATCCCTATAGACTGTGTAAATGCAGTATTGTAGGAGATGAAACCACTTTTCCCACTCTTACTCCTTGTTTCCATGTATGAGAAGTCACAACTTAAAGTTATAGGCCAGGTACAGGCATTAAACATAAACTGGTATAAGTGACTGAAAACTGGTCTAAACCCATAACAGTACAGTTCAGTAAGCACAGATTGGTAAAAAAAAAATGAGACACCTAGATGGATGTGGTATCAGACTTAAGTGATTTAAGTTAGACTGGTCTATCAAACTTCTATAGAATCATAGAAAATTAGAGTTGGAAGGGACCTCAGGAGGTCATCTAATCCAACCCCCTTGCTCAAAGCAGGACTCAGTCAACTATATCACCGCAGCCAAGGCTTTGTCTAGCTGGGCCTTAAAAGCCTCCAAGGATGGAGACTCCACAACCTCTCTGGATAACCTGTTCCAGTGTTTTACTACCCTCCTTCTAATGAGAAAGTTTTTCCTAATATCTAACCAAAACTTCCCTTGTTACAACTTGAAACCATTGCTCCTTTTTCTGTCATCTGCATCCTCTTTGGAACCATTGTTCAGGTAGTTGAAGACTGCTATTAAATCTCCCCTCAGTCTTCTCTTCTGCAGACTAAGTAAGTCCAGTTCCCTCAGCCTCTTCTCATAAATCATATGCCCCAGCACCCTAACCATTTTTGTTGTCCCCTGCAGGACTGTCTCCAACTTGTCCAAATGCTTTCTGTAGTGGGGTGAAGGTAGAGGAGAAAAATGGACACAGTACTCCAGATGTGGCCTAGCCAGTGCTGAACAGAAGTGACTAATCACTTCCCTTGATCTGCTGGCCACACTCTTACCAATGCAGCCCAGTATGTCATTAGCCTTCTTAGCAGCAAAGGCACACTGTTGGCTCAAATTCAGCTTACTGTAACCCCCAGATCCTTTTCTGCAGAGCTGCTGCCCAGCCAGCCAGCCCCCGGCCTGTACTGGTGCATGGGATTGTTCTGTCCTAATTGCAGGACGTTGCACTTGTCCTTGTTGAACCGCATGAGATTTCTTTTGGCCCAATCCTCCAATTATTTAGGTCTCTCTGAATCCTAACCCTATCCTCCAGTATATCAACTGCAAACTCACTGAGAGTTCACTCTCTACCATCTTCCAGGTCACTTATGAACATATTGAACAAATCTGGCCCCAGGACCGACCCTGGGGCACTCCACTTACTACTCACTGCCAACTAGACATTGAGCCATTGACTACTACCCTATGAGCCCAATAATCCAGCCAGTTTTCTATCCATCTAACAATCCATTCATCCAACCCATACTTCCTTAGCTTGCCTGCAAGGATGTTGTGGGAGACCATATCAAAAGCCTTGCTGAAGTCAAGGTATACCACATCTCCTGGTCTTCCCACAGCCATAGAGCCAGTCCTCTCATCATAGAAGACAATCCATTTGGTCAGGCATGACTTGCCCTTGTTGAACCCATGCTGACTGTTCCTAATCACCTTCTTCTCCTCCAAGTGCTTAGAAATGGATTCTTTGAGGACCTGCTCTATGATTTTTACAGGGACTGAGGTGAGGCTGACTGGTCTATAGTTTTGTAGATCCTACTTTTTCCCTTCCTTAAACACAGTCAGTATATCTACCCTTTTCCAAGCATCTGGAAACTCTCCCAATCACCATGAGTTTTCAAAGATGATGGCCAGTGGCTCTGCAATCACATCGAACAACTCCCTCAGCACCCCTAGGTAGGTCCCATCCAACCCCATGGGCTTGTATATGTCCAGCTTTTCTAAATAGTCCCTAGCCTGTTCTTTTGCTAGTTGGCTGTTCACCTTCTCTCCAAATTGTGCTTCCAGATGCAGTAGTCTGGGAGCTGACCTTGCCTGTCAAGACTGGGGTGAAAAAGGTATTGAGTACTTCAGTCATTTCTGCATTCTCCGTCACTTGGTTGCCAACCCCATTCAGTAAGAGACCTACGTTTTTCCTGATCCTCCTCATTACTGACATGTAGAAACCCTTCTTGTTACCCTTCACATCCCTTGCTAGCTGCAACTCCAATTGCACTTTGGCCTTCCTGACTTCATCCCTGCATGCCCGAGCAATCCTCTTATACTCCTCCCTAGATGCCTGTCCAAGTTTCCACTTCTTATAAGCTTTCTGTTTGTGATTTAGCTTATGGAAGAGTCCCCTGCTGAGTCAAGCTGGTCTTCTGCCATACCTGCTAGTCTTCCTGCACACTGGGATGGTTTGTTCCTGCACTCTCCGTAAGGTTCCTTTAAAGTACAGCCAGCTCTCCTGGACTCCTTTCCACCTCAGACTGGGTTCCCAGGGGATACTGGCCATGAGTTCCCTGAGCGAGTCAAAGTCTGCTTTTCTGAAGTCCAGGGTCCTTACTCTGGTGTTCTTCTTCCTTCCTTTCATCAGGATCTTGAACTCAACCACCTCATGGTTGCTGCTGCCCAAGTTGCCATCCATTACTATATTCTCCACCAATTCTTCCCTGTTTGTGAGCAGCAGGTCAAGAAGAGCACGGCCCTTAGTCTCTCCAACACTTGCCACAGGAAGTTGCCCCAAACACTCTCCATAAACTTCCTGGATTGTCTGTGTTCTGTTGTACTGTCCTCCCAGCAGATGTCAGGGTGATTGAAGCCCCCATGAGAACCAGGGGTTGTGATTGGGAAACTTCCACTAGCTGTTTGAAAAAAGCCTTCAATTTGAAGGACTTCAGATTCTTCCTGCTTGTTTCCA